TGAAGAGAGTCCAGGGCTCACTGGTCTCGTGTCCCCGGGGGAGGCCAGTAGGGCCCGTTCTGCACGGTGGGAACCGGCAGCAGAAATCAACATTGTCATTTGATGAGCAGCTCAAAAAGGAGAGGGAAAGGCCAAACCGGTTTGGCTCAGTGGATAGAGCATCGGCCTGCGGACTGAAGGGTCCCAGGTTCGATTCCAGTCAAGGGCATGTACCTTGGTTGCGGGCACATCCCCAGTGGGAGGTGTGCAGGAGGCAGCTGGTCGATGTTTCTCTCTCATCAATGTTTCTAGCTCTCTATCCCTCTCCCTCCCTCTCTGTAGAAAAATCAATAAAATATATTTTAAAAAAAAAAAAAAAGGAGAGGGAAAGGAGGAAGATTCCAGACTGAACTCCATGCTCCTGTTAAATGGTGACACCTGCCAGAAACACCAAGCCCTTTGACATTTATTTGGAAAGAAACTTGACCTATTTCATTAATTTGTAATTGATAAGGGATTTGAAATGAAAAATTTTTAAAATAAAAATATATCTTTGATGCTGTAAAAATGGGGTCTTTTAAGTGGGAAAAATGTATAAAATATTTTGTTTAGCTCTTTCAATTACTGATAAAGTAAAATCTGAAGTGTTTTGCTTTGTTAATCCTATCAGAGGATTTTTCCCCCCGATTGATTTTTAGAGAGAGTGGAAGGGAGGGGGAGAGAGAGAAAAACATCGAAGTGAGAGAGCCACATCAATTGGTTGCCTCATGCACAAGCCCCAAACAGGGTGGGGAGCCTGCAATCCAGGTATGTGACCTTGACTGGAATTGAACCTCCCACCCTTCCATTCGCAAGCTGATGCTCTAACCACTGAGCTGCTGGCCAGGGCAAAATCTGATATATTTTAAAAACTGTGGAATAGAACACATCTATAACAGAAATGCCTACCTGGAAAGATACATTAGCATTATATGAGTTTCAAAATAGGAATTGTCTTAGTCAACTGCCATAACAAAATATCAGAGACTGGGTGGCTTAAACAACACAGATTTATTTTTTCATAGTTCTAGAGGCTGGAAGTCTGAGATCAGGATCCCAGCACAGCCAGGGGCTGGTGAGAGCTCCCTTCCTGGCCTTCAGAAGGCTGCCTTCTCACTGCCATCATCTGGCAGAGAAAGCATAGCTTTCTGGGGTCTCTTCTTATAAGGGCACTAATGCCATCATGGGGCCCCACCCTCCTCTAAACCTAAAGGCCCCATCTCCAAATACCACCACTCTAGGGGGGGGGCGGAGCGGGGGGTGGTGGTTAGGGCTTCCACATATGTAGAGGGAACACAATTCAGTCCATAGCAAAAATGACATCCAAACACCTTTTGCTTCTTTTTTTCTCTTGTATCTGGAATGTTGCCTGGCCCCACTAGCCTCTGAGTACAAGCAAGGTCACCTGAAGGCCCAGATTCTAGTGACTGCCTGTGGGATCTTGGCCCCTAAGTTCAGTTCTGCCTGAGCAGTACCTCGTTGATGTTCAGGACCCAGGACACCACCACCAGGCCTTGCCATGCCCCCCCCCCCCCCCCCCGCTCTCCCTGGTGAACTTACCTGCGTCTCAGCACTGCCTTTGGCTAAGTACACGGGCGGGAGTGGCGTCTGTGTTGGACGACGCACCTCCGCAGCAGGTCATTTCTCAGAGCCGCTCACGGCCGCGAGCACCCTGACATCTCTGAGTTTCCCCAATGTAATTGAAAATAGAGAAACTGGGGAGTACGGTTCTGTGAAATGCGCTTTGGCATTTTAAATATCCCCTGGCCCCTCCTGAAGGAATTTACTGGCAGGAGCAAGAAAACCTACAGAAACAGCCTCTCGGGGCCAGGCCCAGCTCAGGACCAAGCAGCCGCCCTATGGCCATCGTGCGGCGGTGCACACATGCTTTGTCTCGTTTCGCCTTTCAAAAGAAGCAAAGCCGCAGGGCTGGGTGGCTCAGCTGGTTGAGCATCGTCCTGTGCACGGAAAGGGTGCCTGTTCGATTCCTGGCCAGGGCACATGACCAGGTTTCCGGTTAGATCCCTGGTCCGGGCATGCATGGAGGTCAACAATCCATGTTTCTCTCTCACATGGATGTCTCTCTCTCCCTCCCTCTCCCTCCCTTCTTCTCTCTAAGCATGTTCTTGGGCAAGGATTAAAAAAAGAAAAAGAATCAGATGTGTTACTAGGATCTCCCAAAAAGGGCATGCCTTTAAAAACCAAGAACAAATGTTGGGGGATTATTCTTATTTTACAGATGAGGAAACAGACACAGCAGAGAGAGGTTACAGGCTCCAGTGACACTGCGAGGAAAGGGTACGAATCCAAGCAGGAGACTCGGGGTCCTCTCTCCCGCTGCTTGGCGCTGGGCCCTGCGGGGTTTCCAGTTAAACAGCTCCTTCCTGCAGGGCTGAGGCCAGGGGTCTTCCATCTGACCTGGATTGGGAGCGTGGGTGTGGCCGGGCACTTCTGCACAGCATGGCAGGGCAGGCCACCAGGCAACCGGGCATTGAGACGGCATCTAGAGAAAGCAGCAGGTATGAGAACAGAGGAAAACTGGCACTTTTCAGGGCTCTGGTCTGACAGTTCTCGTGGCTTCTGACAGGGTGTGTTCCCAAGTACACCACTCATGTATACACACACTTACAGCACAGTCTGCTCAGGGGATGGTCCCTAATAAAAGGCTCAGAAAACACAACGTTCCTTAATGAATAGTAGGTGCTTACGTTCTAGCTCTACACAACATAATCTAGTGCATCTAACGAGAAGCACTGGCTTTCTCACCCTCTTAGAAGGGAACTACTTTCTAGAGTTTTTAATACGTCCAGTTACTAGACAAGGACTTCTTCCTCCTTTGAGCCTCATTAGATGTGCAACAGAATCTCAGAAGGAAACCAAAGGGTAGCCTGCACTCAGTGATGTGCTCACTGGTAAATCAGGTATATTCATAGCTAATAATAACAGCTGCTGTATATGAAGTGCTTACTAATGCCCAAGCACTGTGTAAATGCTTTACATAGTTGATCTTATTTAATCTGTGACAATGGAAAATCACTTGTTGGGTGGATGAATAAGAGAGTCAGAGTTGAGAAGCAGGGGAAATGGAAACTTTAAATATAAACCTTTGTGTTGTTTTTTAACAGAAAAAGTGACACTGAATGTGGAAGAACTATTTTGTGGAGGTGCCAGAGTGAAGCCAGGAACCCCCCACCTCGCTTTGTCCTCTCACCCGCCCATCTGCGCTGTCAGTGTCCCCACAGGGCCGGGCGGGGCAGGAAAGCTGGCACCACAAATCCAGAGGCTGGGGCAGTTACAGACCCTCCGAGGGGCAGGGGGCACCCGGATTTCTGGGGCAGGGTGTCCTGTCACTTTGGGGAAGGAACAATGTCAGAGGGTCAGAGGGAAGCTGATGGGCACGGGTGGATGGTTCCATTGGGTTCGGGGAGGGAGAGGCAGGCGGCAGTTATGTGCCTGATGGCAGACTAGAAAGGAGCGCGGAGGGGGAACTTCTCCTGTTGTGCTGATAGCAGCCCCCAGAGAGCTCTGCTCCCCGTGAGCGGGCGGGGCAGCAGGACTGATCTTGGCTGCGCACTGGCAAGTGGCTCGAGGTGGGATGTTGGGGAGCTCGGGTGTCTGGTGTGCAGGCAGGAACACATTCCAGGTGGTGGGTGGAGGGGCCCAGCCTAGACAAGGGAGCAGAGGCCAGAGGAAGGGCTGGGGGCCTGGAGGTGAAGTGAAGTAGCATGAGGTTCAGTGGGAGCCAGGAGGTGGCCTAACCCGTGTAGGGGGGCGAGGGGCTGAGAAAAAGAAAGGAACATGAGCGTTAGGCTCAGGCCACCCCGTGTGCCGCATTCAGGTCAATAATGCAGGAGGGACAGAAACGGAGAAGCTATTTGCAGAGGAGAGAAATCTGTATCACCCTCAACAATACGCAGCAAGCCTTCCTCCCCGACAGCCACAAGGTCAGCAGCCGCAAGAGCAGTCCTGAGAGGAAAACACGGCTCTGCCCCGCGGTAGGGGACAGAAGCCTGGATTCCAGGTCCAAACCACCCATCTGGCTGCTTCTCCAAATCCTTGAATGGGGACTCAGTCCGAGATCTACACTGTCTTTCTTTTTTTCTTTTCAATCTGTCCTTTTGGGGACAGGGACTTCACTGAGCATTCAGTGCTGGCCACGCCACCACTAGGCTGGACGTGCCTGGGTGCATGTGTCTGCGTCTCCAGATCAGAGACGTGCAATCCGCAGAGGGCGGCCTCAGACGCAAGGCCTGGGCGCCCGGGCGCCCTCTGAGAGCATCTGACCATCAACGGCTGAAAAAAGAAAACAAAAAAACCCAAATATCCCCAGGGGCCCTTTCCCCCCACTCGTTAGCCCGGAAAACAAGGGCTCCACTTCCCCGGAAACTGGATGCACAGGCCGATTCATCCCATCCCAGAGGCTGGGGAGGCCCTGCGGAAGCGAGGCCGGCTGCAAGTGGGAGACGTGGCCCCCGAAACCAAAAAGAACATTCGCCGACCCACGTTCTGCCACGCCACACTGCCGGCCCCAGGGCCGGTGGCCACTGTGGATGGCGCCCGGCACCCTCCGCGGAGCGGCCGGCGCTCCGCCCGGCCAGAGGCCCCGGCCCCGGCCCCGGTCCAGCCCGGCCCGCGCGGGGCGGCGGCTTCCGAGGCAGCTCGGCGCCCGGATTCCGATTACAGGTTCACACGGGGGGCCGGCCGCCCAGCCCCCGCCGGCGCGCCCTCGCGCGGCCCCGCGCCCCCGCCCGCCTATTCTTCTCCATTCATGCGGACGCCCAGCGCCGCCGCCGCCGCCGCCAGCGCAGCCGCCGTCGCCGTCGCCAGCCGCCGGATTGGCTGGCGGCCGCGGCGCCGGCACTTTCCCACGGCCCGTGGCGCGTGCGGCTCAGCGGCGGCGCTGCAGGCGCGGCCCCTGGCGCGCGGCCAGGCCAATCGGGGCGTGCGGGGCGGGGCGGGCCGCGGCCGCCCGCGCTCTGGGGTCCCGCCCGGCCTCCCCGGCCCGCGCCGCCTCCTTCCCACCAGCGGCGGCCGGCAAAGCCCCCGAGGAGCCGCCGCCGCGCCGCCAAGCGGGGGCTGGCACGGGGGCGGTCGCGGGGTTCGCCCTGGCCCCCAGCCTCGTCCGCGCCCCTCCCCCGAGCAGCTGTCAATCAGCGAAGCGAGGAGCCGGATTGGCGGAGGGGAGGCTGTTGCCCGGGCGCCGCCGTCCCGCCCCCGCGCCGCCCCCGCGCCCGCCCCCTGCGCTCCTCGTCCTCCCCAGGGCCCTGGGAAGGGGCGCAGCGTGGGAAAGGGATGGCTGAGTTTTAACCGGAGGCAGAGCGTGAGCGGATCAGTGTGTGCGGAACCCGAGCAGCCGGCCGCGGAGAGTCGCCGCTGCTGTGAGCTCCTCCCTGCCCGCCGCGCCGCCGCTGCCCGGAGCCCCGCGCAGCCAGCATGAAGCGCGCCCACCCCGAGTCCAGCTCCTCGGACAGCGAGCTGGACGAGGCCGTCGAGGTGGAGAAGGAGAGCGCGGATGAGAGTGGGTGAGTCGGCGGCGGCAGAGCGGGGCCGGAGCGGGCGGCGAGCGCGGGCCGGCCGCGGTGACAGCGGGCGAGGGCCGGCGCCCTGGTGCCCTGTCTTCCCTCTGCCCATCCCTTTGCGCGGGACCCCCAGGCGCTGTCAGGCCCAAGTTGCCAAAACAGTCTGAGTGCGGGGAGAGCGTGGGGCGACCCTCCAGACCCCGACCCTCTCCTAACGGCGATTCCTGTTTGTTTTTTACAATCATTCAGAAACTTGAGTTCGGCCCTAGGTTGCATGTCCCCAGCTACGTCTTCGCAGATCCTGGCCAGGAAAAGACGGAGAGGCGTGAGTCTTTTTACAGTGCTCTTAAAAAAAAAATTAACGGAAAGAACCACCTCTTCACTTTGGGATTTACAGCCGTAATGGAAGTGCCCTCCTTTGTTTTGCCTGCTTTCTGCAGATCATTGAGAAACGCCGGCGAGACCGGATCAATAACAGCTTGTCTGAGCTGAGGAGGCTGGTGCCCAGTGCTTTTGAGAAGCAGGTAATGGAGGAAGTAGGTAGAGCGCCCAGGGTAGCCACCCTCACCCCAGTCCTTCCCGGTCATTCTCTTGAACCCCATCCGTGTCTGGGAAAATAACCGTGTCGCTTGCGCCGGGGAGAATTCATACAGACCCAACACACTTTTGGAAGACAACTCGTTTCGCCTTAGTCTGTACTGTTGGGGTGCACACAGCACAGATATGCATATGCATTTTAAGTTGCTCCCCACGGGCACGTGGTGCCGAGTCAATCTTTTGCTGTTCCCTCCCCCAGGGATCTGCTAAGCTAGAGAAAGCCGAGATCCTGCAGATGACGGTGGATCACCTGAAAATGCTGCACACTGCAGGAGGGAAAGGTACGCGTGCCTGGCCCCTGCCTGGGCCGGAGTTGGGGGGCGGGGGCCGAGCTGGGGCAGATGGAGCCACTGTGCAGGCCTGGGTCTTTGCAGCCGCTGCCTTGTTTTTACTGTGTGCTTTGGGGGTGGGGAGGGACCCCTGCGAGGTGTGTGCGGTTGCCTGTCTGTCCGTTTTGAAATGCACAGAGGTTTTTCTCCATTGGATTCATTGCCCCAGCCCCCTCCCTGCACATTAGCACCTTCTTATGGGAAATGCCTATTATGTGTGAAGTGCCCTGAAATTGTGGCAGCCCTGCAGAAGGTCAGGTAGCTCCCTCCACATTTGTGTATTGCCATTTTGAGAAGAGAACTTTTTAAAAAGTATATGGTGTTAATTTTATATACAGAATTAAAAAAAAAAAAAAAAGAGCCACCACATAACTCTTGAGGCAAGAAACCTGTTGTGGGGAAGCAGCAAACCTGAGGGAAGGTGGGGGGCCAGGGTCTGTGTGTCTGTCTCCAGCGGGACCAAGTGCCTGCAAGCTGCATGGTAACTTACATCTGCGTGTCTAATGCATTTCACTGCTCTGTGGTTTCTCTGCCCTTGATGTATTTTTTTGTTGTTGTTGAGGGAAAACATTAAAGGAACGAACGAGCATAGTTTCATCTGCCGGTAGGGTAGAATTCTAATTTCTGCTCGGCGGCTTCTAATTGGGCTTTGAACTCGCATTAGCGAACACAGACGTCTCCTGTTGGTTAATGCAGAGATTTTGGTCGACTCCAAACTATTTGGACTTTGAGAAGAGCCCGGGAATGCGGTCTTTTCAGGACGTAGGTCTCTGCTGGGAAGGGCTGCCGCCGGGATTGAAGGAAGGCGGGCCGCGAGCGGAGCCTAGAGGTGTTTCTTTTGTTCTCTGCCCCAGGCTACTTCGACGCGCACGCCCTGGCCATGGACTACCGGAGTTTGGGGTTCCGGGAGTGCCTGGCAGAGGTCGCCCGCTACCTGAGCATCATCGAGGGGCTGGATGCCTCCGACCCGCTTCGAGTCCGGCTGGTATCGCATCTTAACAACTACGCCTCCCAGCGGGAAGCGGCGAGTGGTGGGCACGCGGGCCTCGGGCACCTTCCCTGGGGGAGCGCCTTCGGACACCCTCCGCACGGGGCGCACCCGCTGCTGCTGCCCCAGAACGGCCACGGGAACAGCGGCTCGGCGGCCTCGCCCACGGACCCGCACCACCAGGGCCGCTTGGCGGCGGCTCATCCCGAGGCGCCCACCCTGCGAGCGCCCCCTAGCGGTGGCCTTGGACCGGTGCTCCCCGTGGTCACCTCCGCCTCCAAACTGTCGCCACCCCTGCTCTCCTCCGTGGCCTCCCTCTCCGCCTTCCCCTTCTCTTTCGGCTCCTTCCACTTACTCTCTCCCAGTGCGCTGAGCCCGTCGGCACCCACGCAGGCAGCAAACCTCGGCAAGCCCTATAGACCGTGGGGGACGGAGATCGGAGCTTTTTAAAGAACTGATGCTGTAGAAGGAGGGAGGGACCGCTTACAATCCCAGCTGCGCTGGCGGTTGCCGACATCACCTTAAAGTCGTCAGTTATAATAAAGAGGAAACAGGTACAATCCCAGATAAATTCTGTTGAAAGGCGAAAGGTTTGTTGTTTTACCTTTTCTTTCTTAATGTTTTTTTTTTTTTAAATCATGACATGTATTAGCAGGTTTTAAATTTTGTTCCAAACATTAAATGGAAATAGTATAAACCGACACCTGCTGATAGGTTTGTACTGTGCCTAATTTACTTTGTAAACCTATTGGTCTACGAGTGATTCAATTTTTGCCTCAGAGTTTGGGGAATTCTTAGTATTTGGGGGCTGTGTTACATTCTGTTTTTAGAATTAATTTTCCAAACCACGATGCTGAATATTAACGTGAAGCTGTCTGTTAATACTTTGACAATGAAGGTGTTGTATAAATAATATTCTTTTTTTGGGGTGGGGGGATATTGGATTTTGTATTTCTGAACAAAGCGTTTGACAAATCAGATGATCAGCTTTATCCAAGAAAGAAGGCGAATTCTCTGCCTCCTACAGCAGGAAAGGTGGATGTACAGAGTCCACCAGGAGCCCTGAGTTCATGACCAACCGTCTGCCGGGACCAGACGGGCAGTTCTGGCTTAGTCAGGAGGGAGCCATGTGCCGCTGTTGAAGTGGGCTGTGAGGAGATGAGGATAATTGCATAGACTACCCTGCATTTCCAGCCCCGAGCCGTGTGACGCATTTTGATCTCCCAGATCTCCCAGATGCTAACACGGAGAAGTGCACCAGGTGGGCAGGTGGTCCGGTGGAACGGTCCAGTGGATCCTGTTAAAGGCATACCCTAATTCTTCCAGGACTGGCCATATTTTCTTCTCACTGGAAGCTTTTATGTTGCGTTTTCCTTTTTTGGCGCATGCAGATGTGGCTGTTGAGATATTTAAAAGGGCTTTGCTGCCTCCTGTTTTTATTTCTTTGGACTCGGGCTATTACAGGTTTATTCGTTTAGCAGGAGTAACTTGAACACCTCCACCGAGCTGGGCTTGACCGCTGTTGTACTGATGTGTGGTGACTCAATAAAAAAGAGGGAACAAACTATTCTGCTGTGTGTCTGCACCCCTTGGCCTTTCCCTCTGTTGGCTAAGAAAAGATACATTTTCTCTTGTTTGCATTTTTCACAATCACCAGTTTAACGCTTTCATCTCCTGTGGAATTCTAAACTCTGCGGATCCGTGCTGTTGAGGGAGAGGACGTCATGGCCAGGCAGGCTTTGGCCTGTCTCCCACCAGGGGACATGGCCCTTTGGCCGTTATGCCCCATGACCTGGCCCTGACCTGGCCGCCTGTGGACCAGACACCTCAGTATCAGGCTGGAGGTGCAGGTGGGAAGGAACTCTGATGAAATCTTATAAAACTGTGTTGACCATTCCAGAAATATTTACTGAGAGCACCTCCTGTGTGCTTGGTCCCATGTTAAGAGAGCAGAAAATTTATTTCATTTCTTTCCTTTTTCTTAAAATGGCAAAATAAGGAAAGCCACGCGTGGCTCCCTCTGAGTGCCGGGACTCTGTGGGAGTCTGTGGCCTGGTGAGCGGCGGCAGGCTGTGATTCTGCACCTGCACGGCCAGGGATCTTTCCTGCTCTTGTTTCCAGGGAATGTGTTTAACCCTTTAGCTGCATTTGACTCCTGAGCTGTGCAGTGAGGAGGCTGGAACAGAGACAGCCATCTGGGCCCGGCAGAGGTGCCTTCCCATTGCCCTAAAAGTCTTCCTCCTGCCACTCAAGAGGGCTCCCGCCAGCTCACAGGGAGTTGGCCTTGATCCTGATGGGGTGGGGAGTGAGGGAGGAAACCCACTCGGGCGGGTGACAAAGTAGAGCCCTCCTTCTCTTTGCCCAACCACCGAGTGCCTCCTCCCTGCCCTGCTTTAAGAAAATGAAGACTGGCAGCTCCTGCCGGATATCCCTGCCTGCTTGCCGCCAGGCCAGCGCTGGGGCCGGCTTCGAGGCTGCGTCGCGACCAAGTCCTGACCTTATTACAAGACAGCCCTTTCCCAGAGGTCGTTTACGTCGAATTGTGGATGGTACCGACGCTGTTTGGTGCAGAGTCCTGCTCTTCCTTATCAGACAGCCCTTGTGCCGGTGCGCTGTGACCTCCCTGATTGTGAGCACGGCTGTCCAGCTTCGGAACCGCCGAAATCGAGCCAGAACGAGGGCCAGACGGCTGGGGCCTCGGGGTGCTCTGTTTAAGCCCGGCCTGCTTGTGGCTGACCTCGGGAGAGGACGGCATTGCTTGTGGAAGGAATGCTGGCCTGGAGGTCAGGCGGCTAAGGGCTCCATCTAGTTTTGTTTGTGCCATGAAAAGGGTTGAGGAAGGGTGTGGGGCAATGGTTCCTAATTCTGTGCCGTTCACATTATTGCAAACTCGATCTTTTATGGGAAGTTTCAGTGGTTTTATAATAAACGATTTTTACCAAAAAAAAAAAATAATAATAAAAAAAAACTAAAAAAAAAAACAAAGACTGGAAGGCAAAGAGAAGTTTGGACTTTGAACTTGGGCAGCGACTTTCTCTGTGTGGCCTTGGCCCGTGGTCCCTCTTGTGAACAGAGCTCTGTTTGAGGGCTGCCTGAGCTGTAGACACTTTCTGTCACAGTGTGTGATGCAAAGTGTTCTGATGATTTCTGCCAAGTGCCAGTTTAATTTTAGCAACTGCGATTTCCAATGACGTTACAGCATTACTGAGCAGCATCGCCCCAGACCGTCTCAGCGGCTCTGACAGGTACCCAGGTTTAGATGGCGGCTCAGGGTAAGAAAGGAGTAAAGCATGGGGCATGTTGCACTTGTCACATCAATGTTTCACTTGTCACCGCCTAGTTACTACATGGTTTTTGTTGTTGTTCTTTAAGGGGGTGTGGAGGTTCATTTTCAAGATTACATAGTTTTTTCAAAGAAATATTTTGCTTTCTTTTTTAACTTTTTTCAATGACAGTTTACATCCAATATTATTTTGTATTGGTTTCAGGTGTATAGGATAGTGGCTAGACAATCATACTCTGCAAAGTGTTACCCCGATATTTCCAGTACCTACCTGGCACCATACACGGTTATTACAATGTTATTGACTATACTTTGGTTTCTTTTTACATCCTTTCAAGGTGACAGGTTTGTGGAAATGGTGCAGGTGGAATTGGAGCTTCTGGGGAAACAGGATGGAATTATGATGCTAAGCCAGTGGCATGCAGAAAAGTGAACGTAGGAAAAGTCTCACTTCTATTCTGAATTAGCACATGAGAAAACATGCCCGCCAGGGGCATCAGTTGCCAGCACACTCTCATGTTATGCATACGTGTGTAATACTTCTGCCCGGGCAAACAGATACGCTTTAGATGCCAATAGATATGCCTTATGAGGAAAATAACATCCCTGCTCATAAAGAATCTTGAAAGCCCCAATTGGTTACCCATTTACTAGTAGTATATGTCTTAAAATGAATTAATATAATGATGGGCAGAATTCTTGCATTAAAAAAATCTCTAAGAAAAAAAGGCAAGAAATATCATTTCTAACGTATTCGCTATAGTTAAATGAAGATGCGAGCTCGGTTCAGGCTTGCTTTGCCTGCACAGTGAAATATGGGTGACTTCTGGTTCGAAGCCCTCAGGACACGCGTCTTCTCCGAGGCCTCCCAGCCCTCTGTCTGCGCCAGCATCGCAGCTTTGATGCTTGCATTATTCCCAGCGACGGTTTATAATGAAAAGCACCTCGGAGCTGATGTCACCCAAGACACTGCTTCCAACGTGGCCAATTCACTTCACGATCGGAGCTCCGGGGAATGGGAGCGTCCCGGGAAGAGGACCCGGATTCTGGTTCCTGCTTGGCTTTTACCTGATTGAGTGCCTTGGGGAAGTCATGCAAATTCTCTGGACCTGCTTCCCGCCTGTGGGATGAAGGGGTGGGACTAGATGAGGGCCCGGGGCACCCTCGGAGGAACAGGCACTGAGGGGGAAGCAGCAGGGGATGGCTGGTGGTGCTGGCCCAGGGAGCACGTCTTCCAGCACCTTCTATCGGAAGACCAGATCTTCCAAGTTTTCAAGAGAGTCTCCAATTTTAGATCTTTAGGTGAAACTGTGTGATTTGTATAGTCGGTAGCTAACTTACCAAAACCTGTCTGCTGGCAAGACCGGCCCTTGGGCAGCCAGCCGTGGCTCAGCTCCTAGGGCTGCATCCAGTGGCTCCCTGGGGCCCAGAGTTTTCTGACATCTTAGTTTGGCTTGTGCCTATGCTTACTGGATAAAATCAGGCCTCGTGTAAAATAAACAAGGCTATGATTAGGCAGCTGGGCTGGGGGAAGGGGAATTGGGGGGGTGTATGCTGGAGGACCCTGTAGAGACAAGGGCAGAGGTTTTTGTAATTCTGTCTGAGCAGCCACATTTTCTGAAGCCGCGAGAAGCTAAATCATCCTTCTTGTTCTCAGTCCCGATGGTCACAGACCCTCTTCTAAGGTGCTCTCCAGGTGGCCCAGGGTTCACTGTACGGAGGAGGCTCTGAGCCCCGCATCCTGACGTGCAAGAGGGAGTGTGCAGCCAGCTGGTGACTCAGCACACCCAGGCCCTACCCAGCGCCCTCTGATTTCAGGAAGTGGGGAGTCCCACAAAGAGCAAGCTGTTTGAACCTCAGCTTGAAATCTAATGCTGGCCTGGATCCGGATGGTCTGCTCTGGGGAGGGGGCAGGGAGAGGAGGAAAGAAGGAAGGAAACGAGCCAGGACGGCCTTTCCTGTGCTCCACCTGCAGGTATCACCAAGCACTTGAACCCAGCTGCTTCCCCAGGCCCGCAGCCCAGAAAGCAGGTCCACAGCTGCCCTGGGACACGGGCTAGGACCAGGCAGGCTCCAGGTTTTGAGTCAATAGGCCGTGATGCTATCTATGGGTCTTCAGAGCTATGTGCTAGGATGTCTCGCGTATTTACTGCGAAGTTAGTATTTTTCATTGAGCGCTTTGTGTTGGGTTTTGACATAGACTTGAGTTAAAAGACCGTTCCTCCATTTGAAAACATGCAGTTGTCAGGTGGTCCGTGCCTCGATCTTGCAGAAGAGACCGAAAAATGCCGAACGAGGCAGAAAGAGATTGGCTGTTACCCTTGAGAGAGTTCATTGCTGAACATTGTCTGTGGTCACTTTTACTTTTTTAAAACCTCCCCTGGGGCATTGCTTTGTTTCTGGTGTGTAGGAATGTTCCCTAAATGTGGAATTGAATCCTAAAATTAAAGAATGACACAGTTGAGCCGTTGAGCACCCTCTTTGACCTCATCTCCTACCTCATTCTTATTCTTTGCTGTGGCGGGAACATGCCAAGTGTGCTCTCACCTGCAGGCCATGCGACTGGCTTTTCCTCCACCTGGAATGTTCTCAGCTGTCTGCTAATCTACTCTAATCTATGCTCTAGGGACTCAAAGGTCACCTTCCCAGTGTGGTCTTCCCTGACAACCCTAATTACCTAGTTCCCCCCTCCGCCCTCCCCCCTCTTCTCCCTCCCTTTTTGTTTTTCTCCTAGTCTTATCTGGCAGATGTGTCACCGATGATCTATTTACTGCCTGTTTTGCCTGGTTTGTTCACTTCTACAGCTGAGTCTCCTACACAGCGCTTGACTATAGGAGGCACCCAGTAAACAGAGAGTGAATTTGTGAATGCAATCCACCCCTTTGTTACCACGAAGAAGCAGAGCAGACCAGATCCAAACACCCTCCTACCCCCAATCTTTTATTTTAAAAGCTACCAGGGAGGGTAATTTCATTTTCTCTCTACTATTATAAGATTCTGCTTTAAAAAAAAATCCAACTCAAATATGATTTTTCAAGTCTATTTCATTTTTTTGCAAGTGCTTAGTGGGGGTGGAAGGGACATTGATCCTCTACTTTATATTCCCACTAAAGGCCTGTTCTCCCTAATTTTTTTTTTTTAAATTTTATCCCCTTTCTCATCTAGCCCTCCAACCCCCTCCAGTCTGACAGCCATCAGGGTGTTCTCTGTATCTATGAGGTTCTGTTTTGTTTGTTCGCTTACTTTGTTCTTTAGATTCCACATATAAGTGAAATCATATGGCATTTGTCTTCCTCTGTCTGACTTATTTCACTTAGCATAATACCCTCTAGGACCTGGAGTCTAGGTCTATCCATGCTGTCACAAATGCAAATGGTAAGATTTCACTCTTTGCTATGGCTGAGTAATATTTCATTGTATATTTGTACCCACTCATCTACTTAGGGGCACTTGGGCTGCTTCCATAGTTTGGCTATTGTAAATAACACTGCAATGAACATGGAGGTGCATATGTCTTTTCAAATTAGTGTTTTAGATTTCTTCAGATAAATGCCCAGGAGGTCATACGGTAGTTCTATTTTGAATTTTTTGAGGAACTCCACATTTTTCCATAGTGACTACACCAATCTGCATTCCCACCAACAGTGCATGAGGGCTCCCTTCTCTTCACATCCTCCCTATTCTGACAGGTGTGAGGTAGCATCTCACTGTGCTTTTAACTTGCATTCCCTTTTGATTAATGATCTTAAGCATCTTTTCATCTGTCGATTGGTCATCTGTATGTTCTCTTTGGAGAAGGGTCTATGTAAGCCCTCTGCCTACTTTTTAATCCGTGTGTGTGTGTGTGTGTAAGTTGTGTAAGTTCCTTATATATTTTGGATATTGACCTCTGCTCAAATGTATCAGTGGTGAATATCTCCCCCTGATTTTCAGTTCTTAGTTCACCTCGTCTCCACCTTCTCCCCAGTTAAGGGGTCTCAGCGGTTTCAATATTTCCAGATTTTAGTCTAATCCTATGGTGTGGGGTTAGGGAGCTCAGCATCTGCATTTAGAGAAACTGAGGAAATAGAAGAGGGAGGGGCAGACTCCATCCACCCAGGGTCACCAGAGAGCAACACATGCAATGTTTAGACTAAATGGTCTGGATAAGTGGGAGGCTGAAGAACGGATAGGCACACGGCTGTTCGAGTATGCAAAGAGGGGGTCTTCCGAAAATGGAGGCCACGTTCTCAGACCCACATCCTCACTCAGGCAGACACAAGAGGGTTCACCTTCTATCTGACCATCAAGCAGCAACGGGTTTGTGGCAGGATTTTGAGGGTAGCTCTTTCTGAGGTGAATTCAATACATTTTCGACAGAGAGCATCATAATAGCATTAGACACATTTAAGAAGTCCACCGTCTTACTTGTCAGGCAGAGAACCAGAGGCAGAGTGGTGAAGTGGCTGGCCCCGGTCACCTCATTCAGCCTTCATTTCTCAGAGCTGTACTGAGCACGCCCTGGGTGTGAGCCCTTTGCCAGGAGCCGGGGCATAGAGACGAAGCCAGGCACATCTGGTACCTCGAGGCTTGCACGGTGCACCAGCTGGCTCCGGGGCCTTCGTGGTGGGCGCTGTCCGGTGG